CTTAAAATGACGACAGATGTAAGGACACAAAGTTAAGTGGCATTGTAGACAGTGTAGATGACAGCGCAATATTATAAAGGATGTTGATAGAAAAAGTGACTGGGCAAAACTGTGACAGATGGAGTTCAATTTAAGCAAGTGTGAGGCTGTAGATTTATGAGATTGTTACCAGGACTTCAGGAGATAAGTTATGAGGAGAGATAAAACGAATGAGGCCTGGTTTCTCCAGAATTTTGAAGGTTAACTGGATCAAACTTTGGATTGGTTCAGCTTCAGTGTGCTGCAGATCTTCAAGTGAACAGCAGCCAGAGACCTCTAGAGCTGGTAAACTAAAAACATCTCCTCCTCTCTTTCTCCTCGTGTGAGTAAAATGACAAAAAAAAAATAGTTTTAAGGAAAGAACTTAACACGGAAAAGTCTTGGTCACCAGATCTATTACTGAAGTGACGAATGACCTCTGCTTTACAGACACCAGCATGTCATCATTGTTGAAATCACAAAGAACTATGAGAGACAATTTAACCCACCTTTGTGATCTTAGCTTCTGACTTTCAGAACTTTGTTCAACATCCAGATATATCCCCCCATAACTTCAGTGTCAAACTGTCTGTCTTAATCATGAGTATAAATATATGTATTTGGATTTTTTAAAGGGGTATAGATTAAGTTGCATAGTAGCAGATTGGTAATCTTTACTTTTCTCTGCCACTTGTTCAAGTTAGTTGTGTTACAAAAATTGGAACATTTTCTATTATGGAAAAACTTGTTATCTATTGATTTTTGTCTTCTACAGTGGTCAGTCAGGCAAATTGGTTATAGATAACAAGGTGTAGAGCTGGATGAACACAGCAGGCCAAGCAGCATCAGAGGAGCAGGAAGGCTGACGTTTCGGGCCTAGGCAAATTGGTTACCTTGGCAGTCACATTGGGACTACGCAAGTTTTGTTACGGCTTCTGGAACAGTGGGGCATAATTGAAAAGTGCACTCTTCCAGTTGTGACACTGTTCAGAAACTGAAACATGAGGCTACATTGGTTCTTCAACAATAGAAGTTAACTACACAAAAGAAGAAATAAATTAAAACCAAGAGATAGCAAGAACTGAAGATGCTGGAGTAAGAGACAACACAGAATGAAGCTGGAGGAACAGAGCAGGCCAGGCAGCATCAAAGAAACAGGAAAGTTGACGCTTCGGGTCGGGACCCTTCCTCAAAAAGCGGGAGGGGGAAAGGAGCTGGGAAATAAAAAGTGAGAGGAGGGGTGGGCTGGGGAAGGAAGGTGGGATGGTGATAGATGAGTGCAGGTAAGCAGTGGTGGGAATTGGCCAGTGGAATGGGTGGGCAGGTCGGTGAGAGAGAAGATGGACAGGTTGTGTCCCGTCGAGGAGGTGGGGATGAGAGGGAAGGTTGGACATGGGACGAGGCCGGGGTCCCTAAGTTAAAACCAAGCTATTTAAACAATGGATGCAATCAGAAACATCTTAAAATACACAGCAAAACAAGGGCTCAACTTATTTCCAGAAACTTTTTATTACAGAGAAGCAAATCTGATAAATTAGACTGTTGGATCAAATCTTTCAATTCTATTTCACTGATTCTCCCCAGTTTCTATCCAGTGAATTGTGGAGTCTTCATGTATGAATATGCACAAAACTGAGAGCTTCGATTTTCTCACCAGCTCATAAGCTGCTGATTTCTAACTTAATGCTCCAGGTCTGGAAACTGCATCAACTTAACTTTTGAACTCAGTAACTGTTTTCCATGACATGCAATAAACTAAAACTGCTTTCTAGGAAGGAACCTATAATTCCTTCCTATCCTGGTCAGGCTTCCTCTGATATGCCCAAAAAGTTTTAATCTTTGGGTTTTCTAAACTGAAAACAACCTAATGGCCTTCAATGTTGATCAACCTGTCGTAAACTACCACAATATAAACATCTTATTACATTGATACTCCAGGGGTTCACAATTACCTGCTCTCTGATAGATACTGATCAGGTAACTGATCGCAGAGGACCGTCTGATGTTGATCTTTCAAAGAATAGCCCTTCACAAAACTCCCACCTGCCATCATTTTGCAATCCAAACTCTAAAACATGTACATGACAGGAGAAAATTGCTTTTTTTTCCCTAAAAGAGCCCCTCCCATATTCCTTCTCTCTCTCTCTGAACGTCATAAAACTCAAGTCAGAAAACATCGCAGTAATTATCTGCCCAGGTGGCTTGCTGGTCATCACCTAATTTTTTTGAAATACTGTTTTGAACTCTGTGTTCAAAATGACTTTTTTTTAAATTCATTTGTGGGATGCGGGCTGGCCAGCATTTCTTGCCCATCCCGAGTTGCCCTTGAGAAGGTGGTGGTGAGCTTCCTTTTTGAACTGCTGCAGTCCACTTCCTGTGGGTTGACCCACAATGCTATTAGGGAGGGAATTCCAGGATTTTGACCCAGCAACAGCGAAGGACGGCGATATATTTCCAAGTCAGGATGGTGAGTGACTTGGAGGGGAACTCGGAGATGGTGGTGTTCCTATATATCTGCTGCCCTTGTCCTTCTAAATGGAAGTGGTCGTGGGTTTGGAAGGTGCTGTCTGAGGATCTTTGGTGAATTTCTGTAGTGCATCTTGTGGATAGTACACACTGCTGCTACTGAGCGTCGGTGGTGGAGGGAGTGGATGCTTGTGGGTGTGGTACCAATCAAGCGGGGGCTGCTTTGTCCTGGATGGTGTCAGAGCTTCTTGAGTGTTGTTGGGGCTGAACTCATCCAGGCAAGTGGGGAGTATTCCATCACACTCCTCACTTGTGCCTTGTAGATGGTGGACAGGCTTTGGGGAGTCAGGAGGTGAGTTGCTCGCCACAGTATTCCCAGCTTCTGACCTGCTCTTGTAGCCACTGTGTTAATGTGGTGAGTCCAGTTGAGCTTCTGGTCAATTGTAACCCCCAGGCTGTTGATAGTGGGGGATTCAGTGATGGTAACACCATTGAATGTCAAGGGCTGGTGGTTAGATTTTCTCTTATTGGTGATGGTCATAGCCTGGCATTTGTATGGCATGAATGTCACTTGCCACTTGTCAGCCCAAGCCTGGATATTGTCCAGATCTTGTTGCATTTGAACACGGACTGTTTCAGTATCTGAGGAGTCACGAATGGTGCTGAACATTGTGCAATTATTGGCGAATATCCCCACTTCTGACCTTATGATGGAGGGAAAGTCATTGATGAAGCAGCTGAAGATGGTTGGGCTGAGGACACTACCCTGAGGAATTCCTGCAGAGATGTCCTGGAGCTGAGATGGCCCACAGCGCTTCATGGATGCCCAGTCTTGAGTTGCTAGATCTGTGCGAAGTCTGTCCCATTTAGCACAGTGATGGTGCCACACAACACGATGGAGGTTGTTCTCAATGTGAAGGCAGGACTTCGTCTCCACAAGGACTGTGCGATGGTCACTCTTACAGATACTGCCATGGACAGTATGCAACTGTAGCTGGCAGATTAGTAAGGATGAGGTCAAGTATGTTTTTCCCTCTTGTTGGTTCCCTCACCCCCTGCTGCAGACCCAGTCGAGCAGCTATGTCCTTTAGGACCCGACCAGCTCGATCAGTAGTACTGCTGCCGAGCCACTCTTGGTGATGGACATTGAAATCCCCCACCCAGAGTACATTTTGTGCCCTTTCTATCCTCAGTGCTTCCTCTAAGTGTTGTTCAACATGGAGCAGTACTGATTCATCAGCTGAGGGAGGCCGGTATGTGGTAATCAGCAGAAGGTTTCCTTGCCCATGTTTAACTTGAAGCCATGAGACTTCATGGGGTCCAGAGTCAATGTTGAGGACTCCTAGAGCAACTCCCTCCCGGCTGTATCCCACTGTGCCGCCTTCTTTTCTGTGTCTGTCCTGCCGGTGAGACAGGATCTGTCCAGGGATGGTGATGGTGGTGTCTGGGACATTGTCTGTAAGGTATGATTCTGTGAATATGACAATGTCAGGCTGTTGCTTGACTAGTCTGTGGGACAGCTCTCCCAATTTTGGCACTCACCCCCAGATGTTAGTGAGCAGAATTTTGCATGGTCAATAGGGCTGTTTCTGCTGTTGTCTTTTCAGGACCTAGGTCGATGCCAGGTAGTCCATCCAGTTTCATTTCTTTGAGTCTTTGTAGTGATTGGTGCATCTGAGTAGCTTGCTAGGCGATTTCAGAGGGCAGATGAGAGTCAACCACATTGCTGTGGGTCTGGAATCACATGTAGTCCAGACCAGGTGAGGGTGGCAGACTTCCTCCCCTGAAGGACATTATTGAACCTCGGTGTTTCCGACAATCGGCAATGATTTCATGGTGATCAGTAGATTCTTAACTCCAGACTTTTTTTTTGAATTCCAATTCCACCATCTGCTATAGTGGGATTTGAACCCAGGTCCCCAGAACATCAATTGGGTTTCTGGATTAATAGTCTAGCGATAATACTATTTCGACCTTTAAATGAAACAAGTCAGATTTTTGCGAAACATATATCTAAAATCCATTTTCACCCAAAATCTCAACTAAAACTATTGTAATATGAGCCTTCTTAAGAGTTTGGGAGTTTAGGTACAGATTCGGAAATATTGAACAGAACCATGGACAGATTCGAAGGATTGAACCTTCTACTACATTTCCAATGTTCCTTTAAATCTGTGCAATTTACAATCTATTGCACAATTGATATTAATTTATAATATGAAATCTACAAGAACACAGTTCTTAGAACATCCTGATGAATTAAAATATTAATTGGCATGAATAAGGTCCAAACAGACAGCATGTTAATGTAAACTGGAGAAAAGTAAGTGGAGGGCAAGTACCAAAATTGTAACATTTCTGAAAAATTCTAGAAGGAAGCTAACTAATTTCATAATAATGGGCTTTTCCAAAGTAGATGCCCTGATGGAGCAATGAGTGTGCCAGAGGAATTGGTTTCCAAAAAACCGACTTTACTCTCATTTCTTGCATAATGCAAACTAACCATTTCTCCTTACCTCATAGAAATGCTCACAAGGATAGTCATAACCATACCATGGGAGTCCAAGTACAAGCTTTTTGGGATCCACACCCAGCTTGATATAATAAGATAGACCTAAATGGGCAGAAATATAATGGTCTTAGGTTAGCATTGGTATGGAGCAGGCACAACCTTCACCAGAAGATCATACTGTTCATACCTGATAATGTCTCATCATAGGGAGCATTTGCTTTTGCAAAGCAATCGTCCCACATTTCATGTTGCGTATCATGGGCCTTCACATATAAAAAGTCACAGGACTGTGCTATTGATGTGTAATCATAGCACTTGCCATCTGGACAGTCTGGAGTCCAAGGAATACTCATTGAGACCTATGGAACAAACAGTAAGAGAAAGTTAATCATAGCCCACAACTTATATCGGGTAAGACTAACATTATGTGATTCTTTGAAGTGCTCCCAATTGTGAATGGCTCATGGGAACTGTGAAATGAACAGAGTAGAAGTACACCATTGATGGTGACATTAGAGCAAAGGAAGAGGCCACGTGGCCCATTATATCTCAACCAGTGCAACTCAGCCAGTCTCAGTCTCCCCCCTCTACAATTTACACTTTATACTTACCTACTTTTTTCTCAACCTGCCATAATCTTGTGCACTTCAGTCAAATCTCCCCTTGGTCTTCCTGGATCCAAGAACAAGTCCAGTTGCCCCAAACTAACCTTGGAGCCCAATTCCTGCAACTTGGAACAACTTTGATGAGTGTCCAATTCACAGTTTTAAGGAATACCACATACCTCTTAAAGTGTGTGGACCAGAACTACCTTAATAATTTATTTCTGGGATATGGGTATTACTGTCTGGGACAGCATTTATTCCTGTCCCTCATTGCCGTTGCGAAGGTGGTGATGAGTTGCCTTCGCGAACCACTGCAGTCCATACGCTGTAGGTAAACTCATAATGCCCTTAGAGAGGGTATTCCAGATTCTTGTCTCAGCAACACTGAAGGAATGGCAATATATTTCCAAGTCAGGATGGTGAGCGGCTTGGAGGGGAATTCGCATGTGGTGGTGTTTTCATGTATCTGCTGCCCTTTTCCTTCTGGAGACTTTTGATGGTGGGTTTGGAAGGTATTGTGAAAGCATCTTTGGTGAATTTCTGCAGTGCATCTTGTAGGTATTACATAATGCTGTGACTTAGTGTCAGTGGGGAAGGGAGTGAATATTTGTGGATGTGGTGCCAAACAAGCGGGCTGCTTTGTCCTCAATGGTGTCAAGCTTCTTGAATATTGACGGAGATGCCACTCATCCAGGCAAGTGGGGAGTGTGACAGTACTGTGCCTTTAGAGAAATGTGTTCTTTGCTGTTTTTCTTGCAGAGAGGTGTTGCCAGAGTGGTACTGGAATGTCTGCTTCAGACAGGCATTTGGTAAACAGCTTGTTAATCCTCCCGGGTGTTTTTCTATTAGAATGAGACTAAAGAAGCCTGAGTGGGTAGGATCAGGGCTCACACAGACCCAGGAAGGCTTTTAGTTTAGTTTACAGTTAGTTGAAGATTTATGCTGGCTGCTAAGCTAAAAGCTTGAGTTCTCTGCAAGAGTGAAGTTTCTTTTTGATTCATTCACAGGATGAGGGAGTCGCTGGCCAGGCAGCATTTGTTGCACATCCCTAATTAAGTGTCAACCACATTGCCATGGGTCGGGAGTCACACGTAGACCAGACCAGGTAAGGATGGTAGTTTCCTTCCGTAAGGGGCATTAGTGAACTAGATGAGATTTTCCTGATAATCAACAATGGATTCAGGGTCATCATTAGACTCTTAATTCCAGATTTCTGTTGAGTTCAAATTCCACCATCTGTCATGGCAGGGTTTGGACGTCCCCAGAACGTTATCTGGGTCTCTTAAAAGTAAAGAGTGTTTTCCTTAAAGCCTAGTGGTAGACCAATCAAATCACATCTAGAACACAGCACCTTACACTTGCCTTTAAATAAATGTAAAAGTTAGCTTCGAGTCTATCTCCTTACACTACTTTGGGGGAGGGATTTGATCTGGTCCATAAAAAACTGGGGACTCTTGTTTTGGATAAAAAATCTCTAATTCTAGGTTGGGTTTTGCTTTATTGGACTCAAAAACAGTGAGTGGTGAGTGTTGGTGTCCTCTTATTGGGTGTTGCATACGGTTGGATTACAGAGGGATTACTTTCTGTAATAATAGCTCTTTCAGAGGCTAAGAGTTTCCTGGGGGTGAAAGCAGTCACTTTGGGTGGTTTACAGAAGGTCAGGATGGCAGACGTTTCAGAATTGGGGGACAAACTGAAGTTGGGATTGCCTTTGTCCCTGAGGAAAGGGGTGGTAATTGCAGCAGTAACTCAGCATTTACAATGGCCAGGAATGCAATCAGAATCTTTGGAAATGGCTAAAATTCAATTGCAAATAAAGCAGTTTGAATTAGAGGTAATGGCAAGAGTGAAAAAAATGAAAGCGAGGCAAAAGCAAAAGAGAGGGAGATAATTACAGTGGAACAAAGAGCAAAAGAATTAAAACATCTCAAATATGTAAGGAGTGGTGATGGCCTGGTAGTATAATCACTGGGCTATTAATCCAGAATCCCTGGTAATGTTCTGAAGTCCCAGGTTCGAATCCTGCCATAGCAGATGCTGGAATTTGAATTCAATAAATATCTAGAATTAAAGGTCTAATGATGACTATTGTCAATTGTTGGAAAAGCCCATCTGGTTCACTAATGTCCCTCAGGAAGGAAACTGGACTACATGTGACTCCAGACCCACAGCAATACGGTTGTCACTTAACTACCCTCTGAGCATTTAGGGATGTGCAAAAAATTGCTGCCCTGGCCATTACCCCCATATCCTGTAAAGGGATAATAAAGATATGAAAAGGAGGTGAAGCAGTTTGAAATGCAATTATAAGCAGAAAGAAGGGTTAAACTTTGAGAAGAAAGAGAGAACTTTTGAACTTCGGAAGTTGGAACTGAAAACTGAAAGTTGACTTAAAATGGCAGAGGTAAAAGTGACAGGTGGGAGTTGAGATGAAGACATTGATGACGAGCAATCCCATTGTAGCCAAAGGCCTAGTTGATATCTGGATATTAAATATGTGCAAGCGTTACCAAGGTTCAATGAGAAGGATGTTGAAACCTTTTTTACTTCATTTGAGAAAGTGACTAGATAAGTGAAATGGCCACTGACCTTGGGGGTATTGTTGATTCAAACGAAATTGGTAGGTAGAGCTAATGAGGTATTTGCATCACTATCAGACATGGTATCTCGGGAGTATGAGGAGGTGAAAAATGTCTTCTTAGGTGCATATGCACTAGTACCAGAAGCGTACAGGCAAAGTTTTAGGAATCTAAGAAGGGAACCTGGTCAAACATACATAGTGTTTGAAAGGATGAAACAAAATAACTTTGATAGGTGAATAAGGGCATTGAAAATTGATCAAGCATATGAAACATTCTTAGAGAGACTGTTACTTTTGAGAAGTTCAAAAATTCACTTCCTGAAGTTGTGAGAACTCGTGGAAGAGCAGAGAGTTAAAACTGCAAGATTAGCAGTAGAAATGGCAGATGATTATCAGTTACATAGTTCATAACTTTGGGCGGCACAGTGGCTCAGTGGTTAGCACTGCTGCCTCACAGCAGCAGGAATCCAGGTTTAATTCCAGCCTCGAGCGACTGTGTGGAGTTTGCACATTCTCCCTGTGTCTGTATGGGTTTCCTCCTGCTGCTCCAGTTTTCTTCTACATTCCAAAGGTGTGCAGGTTAGGTGAATTAGCTACATTACCTGTAGTGTCCAGGAATGCGTAGGTTAGGTGGATTCGTCATGGAAAATGTAGGGTTACAGGGATAGGGTAGTGGGGGTGAGACTGGGTGAGATGCTCTTCAGAGAATTAGTGTGAACTTGTTGGGCCAAATGGCCTGTTTCCACACTGTTAGGATTCTACGACCTCAAAGTTGGCTTCTGACATCAGTTTCAATCCGTGAGGGATAGAAATTGGGGGACAAAGAAATCCTCAGGTGGTAAGGGAAAAGGAGATCCTATTGAAGATAGTTTACCACAGGTTAAAAAGGAAACATGGGGGAAGAGAAGTAAACAAGAAAACCATCAGGTGTTTTCAATGAAATAAAATAGGCCACATGAAGTCACAGTATTGGTGGTTTTAAAAATAAAACAGAGAAGATGTTTGTGGGGAAACAGGGTAACCCCATGGGGTTGTTGAAGTGCTAACGGAAAGCACAGTTGAATCAAAAAAGTTACAAAAGAATGTTACGGCCTGGTCATGAGTTGGTTAAGAAGAAAGTGCCAGATTGCTTAAAGAATTTACTCACATGGGTAAGGTTTACTCATGTGTACCAGGAGGAGTAGGTAAAAAAAATTCCGATTTTAAGAGATATGGAAGCAAGTCAATCTATTATGGTGAGAATTGAGATGATATGTAGTGTCAGGAGTGTTGCTATAAAATGTCGTAACATTTAATTCATGGTGAGAAGTGTCCCATTAAAGAAAGTGCCTTGGAGAGTCCAGTGAAAAGCGGTGATGTGGTAGTAAGAGTAATAGGAAAATTCTCTTTTCTGGATATGCAGTTTATTCTCGGTAATGATATAGCTGGATCACAGGTGGGAGTGATGTCTTCTGTGGTTGAATAGCCAGTGGAAAATCAAGCAACTGAGGTGTAACAGCACGTGGATCCTGGATTTTTCATGATTGTGTGGTAACAAGGTCACAAAGCCACAGGTTGAAACAGGAGGAGAAATCAAAGAGCAACAATAAAGGAATTGAAGTTCAATTATCAGAAAATATTTTTGGTCAAGTGATTGAGAAAAAACAAGAACAGATGGAAAATAAAGTGGATATTTTTAGTTCAGAGTGTTTTACTGAATTACAACGCAGAAAGATGGAAAGGTAAACAAGTCGTATTGAAAAACATACACAGAAGAAGAATCTGACTGTATCCAGAATGTCACTATCTTAAAAGTGGTTAAATAATACATTATTTATTAAGTATTTCAATAGACTGAAGGTCATACCAATTCTTTTTTATTTGTAATTTAACTGTGATGTAAGGATAAAATGTGTTTTGCTTAAAGCCTGGTGGTGGACCAATCAAATCACATTTGGAACACAGCACTATACACTTAGCATAGACCCTGACTTTTACATTTATCAATAGGGGATTTATTAAAGGATGATGGTTGGATTATCTCTTGTTGAACATGGTCATTGTCTGATCATGACCATGGGTAACCATCCAACACAGTCGACCGTTCCCACTTTCTCTCCATACCCTCTGATCCCTATAGCCTTAAGAAATATATCTAACTCCTTTCTGTGAAAGAGAATTCGATGGCTCACCG